ATAAGACCCTTCCAAGTTTTAAGAGTAAGATGCAAACCTAAGTCTCCACTGGGCACGTAACCCCCCGTCCATAACCAAAACGGAAACAACTTATTGGCTATAACTTACTCGTACCTATCTAACACTCTGCACACGTTACTACGACCAACTCTTCCTGTACACAGTGAGCCTGAAAAAATAATTCATTTGGGGGAGGAGAGGAATATGCTGATCATTAAGATTTAAAAACAAAACTGCAGTGTTAGTACCCAGAGGTTTGATATGATTTTCAGTCACTTTGCATGTTACCCCTTTATGCAGAGGTACTTATCAAGGCAATAGCTAAGCATCTTTATCGGCAAGTAGTAACAACTTTTCATTAATCATGCTAACAACCTAAGCAAAACTAAATGGATATTACTTTCAGCAAATATGCTTCAGCTTTATCCTTGTTATTTGCAAACTTTAAATGTTCGCTTGTATCAAAATCCATGAGTTGCATTCAAGTTTCTGATAAACAGGAATAGCTGTTACAACTCATGATAAAACAATAATATTTAACGGTCAACTTTGGTGAAATACGTCAACAATGGTGTCTATATAATTGGGAGATTGATAAGATTTGTGGTGAAAACCTAATACGGCTTTTTCTATTTTTAAATTTCACACCTTTTTCTTTTCCACTTACTGCAGGGTGGTCAGATACACACACACTTCAGGACGTCTTTGTAACACAATTTTATGGGATATTCTTTTGTCTCTCGGGGAAATATTTAAATCAATGAGAGGAACACCATTAGTTTGCAATGGTGCTGTTAGAAACTATTAATACAAGATCAGAACTTAAAATGACAAGCAACAGCAATAATTCCTTAAAAGAACTGAAAAATTAATGTCGTTATGCACAGGATCACACGAATGTACACGGCTCTTTGGAATACTGTACAGTACTGAACTGGGGCTCAAAACTTAAACTTGGTAGGGAAATTCAAATATGAAATGGGAAATAATTCCTGAGGTATGATAAACATGGCATTTGCTTTCACCATCTACAGTTCCCTTTCCTTCACATTGGGGTACATACAGTGTATACTTTCTTTGTGTGGAAAAATCTCATATGGGAATATTAAGGTTTCATTAAGGCTAAAAATCCGACTTGCTTTCCTATATCAAATATAAAAGTAGATATGATATGGTATGGTATGTAAGCTCCATTTTCTTTGTACTGGATACCTAAGTTTTGCTACTCCTTGCAGACACAAACTGGATACTGTACTATATAAATACTAAAAATAAATTATTTTTCATGTTTCCAGATTCTGTATAACAAACTATGCTAAAAATAAAGACACACAGGCTCAATGTAGTAAAAGAAGAGTAAAAAGGCATTAATTAGCTAAGCAAAATAAGAAAAGAAAAAAATCACAACACTTAAAAGTAATAAACATTCTATTTTAGACTAAAAACTAAAAAAAAAAAAATAGCACCTTTCTTGAGTCGTAAGAGCACTTGACTTAAAAGACTTGACTTGCATTTGGCATAAAAAATGTAATACATATTACTACAAAACAAAGATTGGTAACAACTAGGGAAGACGACTATATTTGGAAAACTGGCCATTAGAGAGTTAATGGACAAGACTGTCACATCAACACCTGAACTTTGGTTAAGCTGGTTCTTGCTAGTAAAATGCCAATCAGTAAATGGCACCATTATGGACAAAATCCACCACACACTAAAAAAAACTCAATCGTTTACTTTCAAACTCCAGTTTTAAATATAAATATATGAAAGAGCCAAGTTGCCATAACAAGCTTCATCCTACAACTGACTGACTGACTGCCCTACAATGGACTAGGAAGTGCGATTTTTGACAACGAGGTGCCTGACTCCATTCCAGTCTAGCACGCTATCCTGGAGACGAATCTTTGGGTTATCGGTGCAAGGCGGCAAAAACACTCAGGGAAAAACGATTATCCTGCTTTGTGTCTCGAAACCTCATTTACTGTTTCTGACTGAGTTTGCTCACTATGGAGGCCAGATTATTGCCCTTGGCCAAATTGAGGGCCCCGAGGGTGTCAAAGGTAGAGTAGGGTGTTTGGGCACCTTCTGCCTCAGAGATTGTTGGGCTGGCAGTCCCTGAGAGCTTTAAGTCAGGAGGGGAAGCTAATTTATGGGTGGTAGTTTTGGTTGGTGTGGTGGCTGCGGTAGTTGGGGTGGTGGTGTCAGCAGTACCACTAGTTGGTTGCTGCTTGCCTGTTATCTTCTTGAAAGAATTCTTGAGTTCCACATTGCGAAGCTTGTGTACATTGGAGAGGTGCTTTCTCATGGTGTCACGTGTACGTGTTATGATGCCACAGATGATACACTTGTATGCGATGTTCTGGTGAGTCTCCAGATGAACACGCATATTGTATGCGTTGGAGAGCACTTTGCCGCACACGGGACAAGGCGTGGGTACCGCCTTCTTCACCATGTAACCACCGTCACCGCACAACAATTCATAAAATACAGGATGACCACCTGAAAGTAATTAAAAACCAACACTTAAAAAGACTACTACAAACTTATCAGTCACGCTCAACTAAATAATATCAAGTACAGTATATTTGACTTTCTGGTTTTGTACAATACAATTAAATGGCAAGCAAACTACATTAAGAAAATAATCTCAAATAAAGGCAAATGTGAGTCATCCTGATTTAATGTTTTGTTTCATTCCAATTGCTTTCTTATCAGTATCGCATGCACGGATGCACAAGGCTACTATACGAAGGAAAAATTAAACCAAAGTGGTTGTTCTCACCTTTAATGGGTCTAATCATCATACTACAAACATATCACACTGGCAGCTAACAGGAGAGTAAGCTGGCTAACTGCTATTCAGGTAAGATCCATTAATCTTCAGGTATTAGTAGTACGTGATCCTCTTCCTAAATTTCATAAACCTGACATTCAAGATAAGACATCACAATAGTTAACATTCATATAAATTTCTATATACATTATTTCTTCTAAAAAACATACAAATGGTAACAAGTGTTTTGGAACTAAACTTTCAGACAAGTTCACTAAGCACAAGCAAGAAGATACCAAGCAAATATTTGAGTAGAGCCTACTAAGTACGGTCCTCGGTCTTGATGGAATGCTGTTGTTGCAGCTGTTCATTAACAGTTGAGGAAGAGGTGAAGGTGGTGGTAGCGGTGGTGGTGGTACATGTGGAGGGATTCCAACTGCCACTGACCACCGGCTCCAACATTGACAGCCCTCTACCTAGGCTGAGATCATTTCGGTGCATTTTCAGCACATGCTTTCGAGCCGATTCGGCATTACGGAACACTGAACCACAGTAATCACAGCGAGACACCTGACGTTGGTGAATTGTCCGGATGTGTTTGTATAGGTTTTGCAAATTAGAAATGACCTTCCCACAGATGTAGCATGCAGGTTTGTTGGTGTGACCTGAAAGGAGAGAGAGAAGCCTTCGTCACTGGCCATATCTTCCGCAGCAAAATCCACACCACCACTGTTGAATCTCTTGGGGGGGTCTACATCACCACCGCTTGTAAACACCGAATGCTTGTATACTTCTACTGGAATGTACGAATAGGACGATGGCCTTCATGGAAGACAACAGCAGTAGCAGCAGCTCTGTGCACAATACAGCGGGCTTGCTTGCATACTTCTTTGTAGCCACACACAAGTGATTAAAATGGGGAATCATATTTTAAATGTTTTAAGGTGGCCCCACAGCCCCCGACAGCCCCCTAGCCTCCCCAGCAGCCAACTTCTCCCCATGTCTCTTGCTCATATGAACAGCCATTTGTTCTACCTCCCGGAACTTGGCCCCACAAAAGACGCACTTGTGCACTTTCATATCATGTCTCCTGGCTAGATGGTCCTTCAGCGCCCACACAGAGTCCAACGTGCAGTTGCATAGAGGGCACGCGTTTCTTTTGCAACTTTCAACTGCAAAAGAGAAGAGAAAGGACCATCAGCCAGGACACATGGCATCAATCACGACACCCTAACTCTAGGCTTGCCACAACCTTCAGCAGGATTCACACGACTTTTGGGAGTTTTTTTTTTTTTTTTTAAGTCCGCCTTGGAACAGTACGATACAGCATAGTATTTATAAGATTTAGAGATAATGATAAAAAAGTTTCATGGCAGGTTTTCCACAATGCCCATAACTGTAATCACTGGTATACACATTTCACAATCGTATAAACAGAACACTCTGAAAAGGCTGGAGAAACAAAGCAAAAGGTCGTACACAGATAACCCAACCCAAAAAAACATTGCTCATATATATATATATATATATATATATATATATATATATATATATATATATATATATATATATATATATATATATATATATATATATATATATATATATATATATATATATATATATATATAAAGATTGATGGCACATACAGGTAGCGAAGACAACAGGTTTCTTTACAGTAACATGAATGCTTTTATACAAGTTTTTACAGTACAAGGTTTATGGCTGTACAGTACATATTACCCAGCATAACTAGTGAGTCCCATTTGAGCCATATAACATCTTTGTTTCTGGACCTCAAGCATTTGGATTTGTTGTTAGGGAGTATTAGAAGAATTTGCAGATCACACACATAACACCATTCATTCATTAGTAGTGAAAAGCGAATCTATTTTACTTGCTTAACTATCTACAATATGACTGAGGCATTGCTACAGCACACCACACAAAGCATACCAAATGCAATCCTTCCAAAATGCTTTTTTTTCTTTTTGGAAGTTTCCAGACCTCAGGCAATGATAACACCTTTAAATCATGAATAAAACAATGTTACAAATATTAAATGTTAGACCAAATTGTAAAATTAAACTTTGTAAATATAACAATGTCCATATAATTTGACAAATTTACCGAAAATAAATAAGAGATAACCATATTATTTTTCATATTAGGAAAAGCCTGAGATCTAGAATATAAAAAAATAATTTTTGTTGCTGGTGCCTACCTTGAGCTGAGGTGTCACTGGATTCTGTGTGGCCCCCTCTCCACCCTGCCTGACTAGCGGGAGGTAACACTCCTGCAAGCAAAACATAACAAATGGTTATCATTAATGGCACACACAGCCAACACCTCACACAGTATATACATTCTCCACAACCATGAGTGTGGCCATCTCAACAAAGTACAGTAGTACCCCACATATACCACTTTCCTTGTTTACATTGGAAAAATAAAAGATGAACGGTTCTCAAGCTCAAGGCCACTTCTCCACACTATAAAAAAAAAGAGAGAGAGGGGGAAGAGGAGGGAAGAAACACAAAGACAGTACCCCCTGTAATAATAATGGTTGCCCCTCGTGTAACAAGGATGGCCGGCCCAAGGGCCACCTAGGTGTGAATTTGTTTAAGGTGTATATAAGCTGTCGCCAACACAACAATCACACCCCCGTGTTGCATGACCCAGTGTCAAGGAATAGTCCGAGAAGACCAGACAAATCGCCAATTACTGCTGGGTTGACAGAGGCAAAGCGTAAAGAAACTTGCCCATACTTTCAACCTGCCCGGGGATCGAACCCGGGTCCGCTCCCATGCGAGACGAGCATCTTGACCATTATACCACAGGTCGCCATAGTACCCCGGGCAAGCCTAAACACACATACTTCAAGTCCTGGTGGCTGTAACCCCTCACTACCCAGTTTTGACATTTTGATCTTTGAAATATGCCCCCCCCCCCATTACTCTTATTACTACTACAGGGATTGACTGATATCTACATTATATTGACATGAGACAAATAATAGAATGTGGGGGGGAGGGAGAATGGCATCAAGTGGGACGGGGAGACACTGGCATCATGAAGGAGGGGGAGACACTGGCATCAAGTGGGACGGGGAGACACTGGCATCATGAAGGAGGGGGAGACACTGGCATCATGAAGGAGGGGGAGACACTGGCATCATGAAGGAGGGGAGACACTGGCATCAAGTGACGGGGGAGACACTGGCATCATGAAGGAGGGGGGAGACACTGGCATCATGAAGGAGGGGGGAGACACTGGCATCAAGTGAAGGAGGGGAGACACTGGCATCAAGGGGGAGGGGGAGACACTGGCATCATGGGAGGGGGAGACACTGGCATCAAGGAAGGAGGGGGAGACACTGGCATCATGAAGGAGGGGGAGACACTGGGTATGAGGGGAGGGGGACACTGGCACGTGAGAGGGGAGACACTGGCATTGCGAGGGAGGGGAGACACTGGGTATCAAGGAAGGAGGGGGAGACATTGGCATCATGAGGGGAGGAGGGAGACACTGGCATCATGAGGGAGGGGGAGACACAATGGAGGGGGACACATGAAGGAGGGGAGACATGTATCATGAAGGAGGGGAGACACTGGCATCGAAGGGAGGGGAGACACTGGGTATCATGAGGGAGGGGGAGACATTGCATGCGAGAGGGGGAGACACATCATGAAGGGAGGGGAGACATGGCATCAGAAGGAGGGGGAGACATGGCACAAGGAAGAGGAGACACTGGCATCGAAGTGAGGGGGAGACACTGGCATTGCGGAGGGAGGGGAGACACACTGCAGAAGGGAGGGGAGACACTGGGTACTGGCGAGAGGAAGGAGACCGGCATCATGAGGAGGGGAGACACTGCAATGGGAAGGGGGAAACAAACAAGGAAGGAGTGGCACAGAGGAGGGGAGAATGGCAGAGGAGGGAACTGGGAGAGAGGGCATACTGGCATCATGAAGGAGGGGAGACACAAGGGAGGGGAGGGGGAGACATGGCACATGAAGAGGGGAGACACGGGTATGTGAGGGGAGGGGGGGGGGACACACAAAGGAGCACATGTGAAGGAGGGGGACATGGGACAAGGGAGGGGAGACACAAGACATGAAGGAGGGGGACATGGGTATCATGAAGAGGGGGAGACACTGGGTGAGGGAGGGGAGACACTGGTGAGAGGGGAGACACTGGCAGGTGAAGGAGGGGAACATGAGGGAGGGGAGACACAATATGAGGTGGGGAGACACTGGCACTGGGCGAGGAGGAGACACTGGCACTATGAAGGAGGGGAGACACTGGCATCATGAGGGGAGGGGGAGACACACACAAAGGAGGGGGAGACATGCACAAGGAGGAGGGGGAGACACACACATGAGAGGGGACATGCACAGAGGGAGGGGGAGACACATTATGAAGGAGGGGAGACATGGCACATGAGAGGGGGGGAGACATTGCATAAGGAGGGGGGAGACACAAGGGAGGGGAGACACACAGGAAGGGAGGGGAGACATGGGTATCATGGGAGGGGGAGACATGGCATTGTGAAGGGAGGGGAGACACGCATCATGAAGGAGGGGGAAGATGGGGAGGGGGAATGCATAAGGAAGGGAATGGGGAGGGGAGACACTGGCATCATGAGGGGGGGAGACACGGCATAAGGAGGGGGGGAGACACTGGCATCAAGGAGGAGGGGGAGACACTGGCATCATGAGGAGGAGACACTGGCATCATGAGGGGAGCATGAGGAGGGGGACACTGCACATGAAGGAGGGGGAGACACTGGCATTGCGAGGAGGGGGAGACACGGCACCATGAGGAGGGGAGACACGGGCACAAGGAGGGGAGGGGGAGACACGCACTGGTGAGGGAGGGGGAGACACTGCACATGAGGGGGGGGGACACTGCACAAGGAGGGGGGGGAGGCATTGGGTGAGGGGAGAGGCGCATTGGGGGAGGGGACACAGTACTAAGGAGGGAGGGGAGACACAATGGGTGAAGGGAGGGGGACACTGCATTGGGAGAGAGGGGAGACATGGCATTGGTGAGAGGGGAGACACACAAGGAGGGGAGGGGAGACACGGCATCATGAGGGAGGGGAGACACTGGCACCAGGAGGAGGGGGAGACACGCATCAAGGAGGAGGGGGAGACACGGCATCGTGAAGGAGGGGGGACACTGGCACCATGAGGAGGGGGAGACACTGGCATCAAGAGGAGGGGAGACACTGGCACGGAGGGGGAGACACATCGTGAGGGGAGGGGAGACATGGCATTCGAGGGAGGGGGAGACACGGGCATCAAGGAAGGGGGAGACACACAGAGAGGGAGGGGAGACACACATGAGGAGGGGACACTGGCACAGGAGAGGGGAGACACACAAGGAGGGGAGGGGGAAGACTGGCATTAAGGAAGGGAGGGGGAGACATGGCATCAGTGAAGGGGGAGGAGACACTGGCATTAAGGAAGGAGGGGGAGACATTGGCATTGTGAAGGAGGGGAGACACCATAAGGAGGGAGGGGGAGACACAGAGGGGGAGGGGGGGAACTGGCATCATGAAGGAGGGGAGACATTGCATTAAGGAAGGAGGGGAGACACTGGCATTGCGAAGGAGGGGGGGAGACACTGGCATCATGAAGGAGGAGACACGACTGGGTGAGGGGAGGGGAGACATGGCATCATGAAGGAGGGGGAGACACACATGAAGGAGGGGAGACACATGAAGGAGGGGGAGACACGGCATAAGAGAGGGGGGAGACACTGGCACATGAAGGAGACACTGCACAAGGAGGGGAGACACACAGGGGAGGGGGAGACACATGGGTGAGGGGAGGGGAGACACACATGAGGGGAGGGGAGACACAGAGGGGAGGGGAGAGACACAGAGGGAGGGGGAGACACTGACATGAGGGGAGGGGGAGACATGGGTATTGGGGAGGGGAGACATTGGCAAGGGAGGGGAGACACATGGTGGGGAGGGGAGACACTGCACAGGGAGGGAGGGGGAGACACTGGCACGAGGAGGGGGAGACACTGCATCATGAGGGAGGGGAGACACTGGCATCATGAGGAGGGGAGACACACTGGGCGAGGAGGGGAGACACTGGGCACTGGAGGGGAGGGGGACACTGCACAAGTGAGGGAGACACGGGCACATGAGAGGGGAGACACATGTGAGGGGAGGGGAGACACTGCATATGAGGGGAGGGGAGACACACAAGGGAGGGGAGGGGGAGACACAAGGGGAGGGGAGGGGGGAGACATTGCACAAGGGAGGGGAGACATGTGAGGGGAGGGACACAATATGAAGGAGGGGAGACACTATAGGGAGGGGAGGGGAGAGGCTGGTACGGGGGAGGGAGGGGAGACACAAGGGTGAAGGAGGGGGAGACACTACATTGGGTGAAGGGAGGGGGAGACACACGTGAGAGGGGAGACACTGATATCATGAAGGAGGAGACACAAGATCATGAAGGGAGGGGGAGACACTGGCATCAAGGAGGAGGAGACACTGGCATCAAGGAAGGAGGGGGGAGACACTGGCATCATGAAGGAGGGAGACACGGCATCATGAAGGAGAGACACTGGCATCATGAGGGAGAACAGCACATGAGCACTGGCATCATGAAGGAGGAGACACTGGCATCATGGGGAGGGGGAGACACACTGGCATCATGAAGGAGGGGGGAGACACTGGCATCATGAAGGAGGGGAGACCTGGCATCATGTGAAGGAGGGGGAGACACTGGCATCATGAAGGGGAGGGGAGACACTGGCATCATGAAGGAGGGAGACACTGGCATCATGAGGGAGGGGAGACACTGGCATCATGAAGGAGAGACACTGGCATCATGTGGGAGGAGACACTGGCATCATGAAGGAGGAGACACTGTCATGAGGAGGGGGAGACACTGGCATCATGAAGGAGGGGGAGACACTGGCATCATGAAGGAGGAGACACTGGCATCATGGGGAGGGGAGACACTGGCATCATGAGGGGAGACACTGGCATCATGAGGAGGGAGACACTGGCATCATGAGGAGGGGGGAACCTGGCATCATGAGGGAGGGGGCTGGCATCATGAGGGAGGGGGGAGACCTGGCATCATGAGGGAGACACTGGCATCATGAGGGGGAGACACTGGCATCATGAGGGAGGGAGACACTGGCATCATGAGGAGAACAGCATCATGGGAGAGGGGGGAGACACTGTCATGAGGGAGAGAGACAGCAAGAGGAGACACTGGCATCATGAGGGAGGGGGAACTGGCATCATGGGGAGGGGAGACACTGGCATCATGAGGGAGGAGACATGAGGGAGGGGGAGACACTGGCATCATGAGGAGGGAGACACTGGCATCATGTGGGAGAATGAGGGAAGGGGCATGTGGGGAAGGAGGAGACATGAGGGGGACACATCATGAGGAGACACTGGCATCATGAGGGGAGACACTGGCATCATGAGGGAGGGGAGACACTGGCATCATGAAGGAGACACTGGCATCATGAAGGAGGAGACACTGGCATCATGAGGGAGGGGAGACACTGGC